ACTCACTGGACTCAGTTTCCTCCTCTATAAAATAAGGAGAGCTCAAATCTATTCACATTCAGATTCTATTATTGTATGCCCATTTCTGTTTCTCTATATATTATTTATTTAATTGTTGTTTTCATTAGCGTCGGTCAGTCATCAAATCTAAGCCTGGGCAGATCAAAAATTTTCCTGGGCTTTATTCCTGCTTTCTCTTCAAATTGGTTATTATAATTCTTTTTTTTCTGGGGTATTTTTATTAGATTTATTGGGGTGACATTGGTTAATAAAAGTATACAGGTTTCCAGCGTACAATTCTATAATAAATCATCTGTATATTGTGTTGTGTGTTCATCACCCCAAGCCAAGTCTCCTTCCATCACCATTGAGCCCCCTTTTACCCTCTTCTACCTCCCCCACCCCCTTTCACTCTGGTGTTACCACCTGCTGTCTGTATCTATGAGGTTTGTTCTTTGTTTTTGGAGGGGTTGTTTTGCTTAATCCCTTCACCTATTTTACGGAGCCCCCAAAGCCCATCCCTCTGGCAATTGTCAGCCTGTTCTCTATATCTATGAGGCTATGGTTATCATAATACTTGAACACATTTTGAGATAAGCTAAGAACCTACTAAGAATTAAGTCCTTGCTTTGAGAATACAGGCATGATCTTTTAAAATTTTAGAATTTTAAGGTTGAAAGAGACCAAAGGAATTACTTAGTTCACTCGTCCCTTCCTCAGGACACTTTACCAATTTGCTCAGCTTTAATTTGTTCAACCACTATATAACAAGAGCTTCCAATTCCCCAGGCTCTGCGTCAGGCCCAGAGTCATGCAGGGTGGTCCTTCGTTGTAGCTCCACCCACTAAGGAAACCCCCCAAAGCAGTGATCCAGACTCACTTTTGCAAACAAGTGTTGGTTGCTGGAATCTTTTTGTTCCAAGGTCCCTTAAGCTATCTGATGTTTCCTTGTGACCCTACCTTCTCATCTGATCCTTTTTAATCCAAAACCTGAGATATATATTTTACAAGTCTGTGTGTCCTGTCTGTCATTCATTAGAACTTCAGCTGGAGCACATTTTTCCTGCTGCTGGTGCTGGTATCCCAGCACAGCTGTCTGTTTTCCCTGCCCCTAAAAAATCTATTTAGTCTGTGCTTTGTAGCTTAGGAGTGACCCAGGATGATATTTTGTTCTTAGCTTATTGCCCAGTACTTCTTCTAGTGTCCTAGTAGAGTTCATGTCTCAACAGAGGACAAGTCTGGCTCAGCTCCTTTCTAAAAAGCCTGACTGTCAGCTTTGAGAGTTGACTCTGCTCCAACACCTGGTAACTGAAGATTTTCTCCTTGTCACTCATGGTTCAATAGAGCAGAAGTTCCCGCCAAGCCCTAAAGGATAACTAATGGCATTTCAGAAAAGGTGCCAAGCTCTTTCTTCCAGCCGAGCCTTTAGCTTAGCAATGGAGACCTGGCCTTCCTGGAATTCCAAGGTCAGGCTTAGTGTTCCTCTTCCCCATCTACTTTGCTTACTTAGACCACTCTAAGTAAATAAATACCCAGAGAATCTGAGCTTCCTTTTGAATTGTTTGCCAGGAAAAGTAACTGAACATCAACTCAAGAGTGTTGAGAGTTATATAATAAGAAGAAATAACAATAATTCTTTCTAATTTACAAAATGCTTTCATGTGTCTTGGTTCTATTATTTTGGCAATCTTGTAAATTACATGGCAATTATTTCCTTTTTACACTTGCAGAAAATAGAAAGGAAAAACTTGAATTTATTTCCCTAAATTTCTACCCCCCCCCCCCCCCGCAAATCTAGTATTTCTCTTGGAATATTACTTGGGGAATATTGTCTTGTTTTGCACAAAAGTTTGAAATATTCATGAAATCACATCTGTCAATTTTTTTATGTGAATTAAAATTTTTTTCCCTGGCTGGTGTGGCTCAGTGGATTGAGGGCCAACCTATAAACCAAACACATGCCTGGGTTGTGGACCAGGTCCCCAGTAGGGGGCGTGTGAGAGGCAACCACACACTGATGTTTCTCTCCCTCTCTTTCTCCCTCCCTTCCTCTCTCTCTAAAAATAAATATATAAAATTTTTCAAACATTTTTTCTATAACAAAATTGTAAAAATATTCTCTCATATTTTCTTTTAACGCTTCTTTTAGTTAGTTTGTATTTTTTTAATGCCTTTAAATGTTCTATCTTTCTGGAGTTCTTTAAGGTTTTAGTATGAAATAGGATTTACTTTCATTTTACCCCAATGAATAACAAGTTATCCCAACTATGTTTCTTGCCTAAACCATTCTTTATCAAGACCATCTTGATGCTTTTTCATTAATTTTAAAGGCCACTTTGTCATATAATAAAATTCTGACTCAAATTTTTTTTTTATTTCTGCTGCTATCTGTGCCATTTCTTTTGCTAATTACTAGCTTAATTGGTTTCCTGGTCAAAAACACAGAAGACGCCCTGGCTGGCGTAGCTCAGTGGATTGAGCACGGGCTGCAAACCAAAGTGTCGCAGGTTCGATTCCCAGTCAGGGTACATGCCTGGGTTGCAGGCCATGACCCCCAGCAACCGCACATTGATGTTTCTCTTTCTCTCTCTCTTTCTCCCTCCCTTCCCTCTCTAAAAATAAATAAATAAAATCTTAAAACAAACACACAGAAGAATGTTCTATTTCTAAGAGATGTATCATTAAGTTCCTTATAAGAAAGAATTAGCCTGATTCTCTAAGAGTTTAAGCATAAGGAAGTCTTCAAACAAAATTTGGCTAAAGTATGAACTTAAGTGTGAAAGGTTTTCATGGAAAATATAATCTGCTCAGCACAAAGTCCCTTTACACAGAGCTTTGAAGGTGTGAGCCTGTTCTATTTTGACAGGCTGTTCTAATGCCACAGATGTATAGTAAATGCTTATTTACTCTTAAACAATGAAGGAACTCAGATTTTTAAAATTTTTATCTTATGAGAAGAAGCAAATTATCTTAAAGGTTTCATTTAAAGTTTTTATTTTAAAAAGCTTTGTTTAAACAAAAACAAAATCAAAACTAGAGTTTCTAAGGTTTGTGGGCCTCTGGAGATTAAAACTGACATTGGTACTGAGGACCCAGAGGCCCAGGAGGAACTAATAACCCTCATCAACATGACTGAGGTACGTTTTGCACAGTTGTAAGGCTACGTATCTCATTGCTGCAGCTCACCTCTTTGTATCTTATTTGTTCAACTGTGCACAAGGAATTTGTTATAATTCTATGACATGCCAACACTTATTAATTCTTTCACACTTATTAATTCTTATGGATTTTCATTCTTAGCTTGTCAGAGCTCAGTTTTCCATCTGACACTGAGCAGGAACACTAGTTTTAATGAATATGTCCATTTTTTTTTCTAGGATAATATTTGCATTTATTTAATTGTGGAATGAATGACATCAGAGGGCAAATGGGTGCCAGAGTATGATGCTTTCCCTGCCCTCACTCAGCACAGCAAGAGAGAAACCTGGTAATGTGGACCCTGCTCCTGTTTAAAAAAAAAAAATGAAAGAATTTACCATCTATTTTGAGAAGGAAGGCATACATATCTTTGAGGCTTGTCAACAACAGCTCAACATCAACTGCGGTTGTGCACAAAATAGGAGTTTTTGCAAGTCAAGCTTCTAGGGCTCAACATGTATACATTCCCATTTTATCTCTTCATGCCTGTTGCAAATTAATTAACCAGAGGGAGAAAAGTGAAATAATTTGCTCAAAGTTATACTACTTGTTTAATGATTTTAACCAAATAAAGTATTATATGGCCATAATTATAAAGTTGATTTTAGTTTTGGTTTTGGTTATAAATAATTAGTAGTTTCATTATAGAAAAGGAAGCATAACAAAAGGCTTGTGTTAATATTCTGACAAATCATCAAATGTATTTTTATCTAATTTTCATTTTCTTATGTCTGTGATCTTCAGCCTATGTGTGTTGTTATCGGGTTTAGTTTAATGGATGTCTCTATGGAAAAGCCAGTCTTCTTTTCTCCCCTCCTCTTCCACCTTGACCTTAAGTAACTTCCCATCCTTTAGTTTCTAGTATGAGTGGATTACATAAGATGTCAGGTTTACATAAATGGATTTTTAATTAAAAAGAAAGAGAGAAATTATGAATTTCCAAGGGCTGCCAGTCAAAAACTATAGTGTGTTGCTTCATATTTCTTTGAAAGGAATAGTCAGGGAAAATGGTTATAAGGATCAATTTTGGGATTTTCAGAGTCCGGGGAGGGAGTTAAATTGGAAAATACTTCCCAGATGTATACTGGTTTCTTCATAAAAGCTTAAATAAATTCATCCTAAAGTGAAAACAAACTTAATTCGCTCAAGGATATTTCCTAAGAGATTGCTAAGGCTAATATCTTTCTAATTAGTGGAAGCCTTCAGATTAATATTTTATTTTATTTTTTTCACTTTTTATTGTTTATGCTATTACAGTTGTCCCATTTTACCCCTTTTGTCCTGCTCCACACAGCCTGCCCCCACTCCCACAGTCAATCCCTACACTGTTGCCCATGTCCATGGATTCTTCATGTATGTTCTTTGACTAATCCCTTTGCCTTCTTTCTATCAGTCCCTACCTCCCCCTCCTCTCTTACAGCTGTCACCAGCCTGAGAACCAAAGATTAATATTTTTAACAAGTATCCTTAATGAATCCTTCTTTATTTCAGTCACCCTACCTTCCAGACACATACAAAGAATAGGGGGTGTTGTGTTATAATGGATAGAGAGAAGGCAGAGCTTTGAGTCAGAAAAGCTGGAGTCTGAGTCTCAGCAAACACCTCAATATATATAGGTACCAAGAGACTGTTGTCTCTGCTCATTGCTTTTCCCACTCTCTGTTCCTTAATTTAACCTTCGGGAAATGAGATATGGAAATCAGAGTCTTCCCCATGGGGAGGAAAAATATCTCAGATTAACAGGTAGTACCTGTGCTAGTAATACACATTCTGAGGAATCAAATCACATCTATTGGGCTTACCTGGTGACTTTCCTCTCTTCATATCACAGCCTGAGGGAGCCCTTCCTCCAGTGTACTGTGGCTCAATCACTTCTTAAGCTGTATGGAAAGACAATCTCAATATCTGAACCACAGCAGCTCTCTGGCATGCTCACAGGTCCTCTGATTCATGAGCAATTCCTAGTGCATGGGCTACTGCCCTTGCAGGCCAACAGCCTGGGACACACCCCCTTCAACAGGGAAAAGAGAAACACATACTTTCTTCTGACTCCCCCGCCCCTTTTGAGTCAATATGAGCCTGGTAAGAGGAAGCAGCTCAGAGCCCAAGACTTGGTGATTCTCCCAGCAGACATAGAGAGATTTCTGAAACCACAGAAGGAAAATACTCTAGGAGAATGAGGAACACTTCTGTCCTCAATCAGTTTTCTACAAAATGCCATTTTGTTGATCTTCATGTCCAGCCTCTCGATACCTGGGGTCACACCCCATAAAGCATAAGGAATGCAGCCCTTAACCCATGATTCCAAAGAGGAGAGGAGGGCAGTTCCACTAGGGTGAGGGGAGAGGTAGGTATTATTTTTCCTTTTCCAACTTTCTCACTCAAGGATGAAGAATCAACTTGCTACTTTCCCAGACAAAGGAACCTCAGACTTTTTGGTGGGCTCATATGAGATGAAGGCCAGGAAAAGAGAGCAGCAACACACATGTTTGCCCAGTATGAATGTTTTCCGTATGTTCTTTGTCCTTAGAAAACCTCAAGCTAAACCTTAGTAACTTCTTTAATAAAGGTGCCATCCTTTCTAAGGAGTTGTCCAATTTGAAAATTAGCACTCCATCTCTACAAATGACTTGAGGTGGCTTATGAGTTAATGCATAAAATAAAATTACATTAGAAGAGAAATAAAGGAACACAAACCATAAAAGTTCTAGATAAATAACAAATTATAAAAAAGGAAACTAAACTATAAAAGTGGAGAGTCAATTAAGAAAAAGAATGAACATAAAAACCTATGAGTTATCCATAGTGTTTTATGTGTTTGAAACTTAACTCTAGGAGTGGAGCTTCCTGGCAGTAAAAGAAAAAGGGAAGCTGATTGGCTACATCATTCTTATCAGATAAGAGGAGGCATCCATCTTCTCAAGGAGTAATGGTTCTTGAAGCACAAAATTCTAATAGAAATTCCTTTCTTTAGAGTGAACTGCTAATAAGATTGGAGCCCGTAATTTCATGTTGAAGTCCTTTAATGACAAGCAGCCTTGAACACAATCTGACCCTCTTGTTTCCAACACCAGCTGGGCCACTTCGTCTATATCATAACGCTTCACCATCAGGTCTGTATCTGGTCCAGTGGAAAGTTTTCAAGAGAACAAACCCTACTTGACAACACCTAATTGTTCAAGGGTATCAACCACTGCACATTTGTCCATCAACCAGCCTGGGCAGAAGAGAGTTGATCTCATAGCTTAGTCAAGTGAACTCCATTCTTCTCATGTGCCTTTTCTGCTGGGTTTTGCCTGTTTCCAGAATCTACCAGCTGTAAGTGGAGACCAAATTTCCATTCAGTACAAAGGGCCAAGGGCTTCTTGGAATATATACTCTTGTTCAGTGGATCCAATGCTTTAAGTCCTAGGATTTGATGCCATCTTTTCAGTTCAGTGCTGCCCCTTTCCTGTCATCTCCATTAAAATGCAGGTTCCTGTAGGAGTACAGAAGTCACTGACACCTTAATGGGAATGTGTTTATAAAATGTGACTAATAATTTACTAGTTACTTAGAGAGAAAAGTGGCTGTGGAATAGGGTCGGGGCCCTGGGGGAGGGCGGAAAGGCAGTAGTGGGGCAGACCAAATGGCTAATGGGTGTGGAGTTTACGGCAGTCAGGGCTTGAAACTTGGATGGCAGCTCTGTCACTCACCTCCGGCTCACTGGTTGTGAAGCCCAGCAGTGTCCTAGAGACTGGCATATGGCCGTCAGAACCAAAGGGATCCTTACAGTTTCTTATTAAACCAAAAAATTTTAGCAACTACTAGAAAATAAGACAACCAACCAGTAAACATCAATGTTTCCATGAGTATACTGGTTGGGGATAACAACCTAAATCCAAACAATTGAATGCATTTAATAGTTTGCTAATTCTGTATTTAATAGAAAGAGATCATAGTATGTCCAATGTTTTAGGTTGTTTCACAAATTGGGTGTGTTTCGCAATACTGGTGACTCACCGATAAGCTGCTTTCTCACTTCTTCTAGTTTCCTCCTAATAATTTGTTAATGCATGCAAAGCTGAATTTTTTAATACTTCCTGGTTAGGTTTTGGGACTCCCCTCCCTGCAGAGGACAGAGAGTAAAGAGAAGCAGCATGGGTTTGAGCATGTGGCAACATTGTGACATCTTGCAATGAGACCAAAAAGAGCTAACCTTCTGCCATGGCAGAGCTGATGAAGCATTGCTCCTCAAGTGAGACTGTAAAGCTCCTTCTGCCACAAAAACTCTTATACTCTAACTTATGAAGCAAGAGCACCTTGCTCACCTGAGCACATGAAGGCAGCTAAATCCATGTGTTTTGGTCCATCTGGTCTACTTCCCATCTCTTTCTCTGGTGATCCTGACCACAGAGCTTCCTCAGGGAGGCCAGGCACAGCATCTCTGACAGATGTCACAGAAGAAAAAAAAGGAAGGCCTGGGGCTAAGAGCTTCAAGCCTTCCAACTTCATCTGTTTGTGTTGGATTCCTGAAAGTTCTGATCACTTGATTTCCCAGCAAAAGAGTAGAGTCACAGGAATAAACAGCAACAAACCTGAGGCCCAAGGAGTAAGGAAAATACAAACATAAATATGTTATTGGAACTAGTTATCTCAATCTTCTCATGTTGAGTTTCCCTGAGAGACCGCTGGTTGTGAGGCAATGTCTGGATTAGAGAGATCAGCTGGTGGGCCTGGGGAGGACATGAACCCCCCCGGGCAGAAGGACCCTGAGTGGCACTGTCTATCCTCAGAAATGCTGGACATTCTTTGAGCTTGGCCTTAGAGAAGCTCTATTCTAGGGGCTGCAAAAACAAAAGGCCACCCTGAATGATATGGTGATTTGAGGGGGTGATAGGCTCTGACCTGGCTCAGACAGCTTTATTCCATAATTGTGAAATGGATAAATGCAATAAAAAAGTATTTCAGGTCAAATTTTTAAGAAACCTGAAAGGAAGAGTAAAGAGAGGAAGAATTAACTACAAAACAAATTATAGTGAGATTTTCCTAACTAATATAAGACAAATCAAAACTGATACAGTCTCTTAACACACAGGGCTTAACTAGCACTTGAAGAGGTGGATGGAAAATTATTAGAATATTTGAGGGCAAAGCTTCGTCAATGTAACGTAGAAACTCTTTTAGGGAAGTGAGAAGTGATGGCATTGCATAATAATTGTATTGCTATTTGGCATTAAAATAAAGGACATCCAAATGAACAAAGGGAGAGTTCACAAAATTGCAGAAAATCTTTTCTGATCCCTATCAGAGACGAGTGTGACAGTGCATAAACATGAGAGCTGGCTTGGACAGTGAATCGGAGAAAGAGATGAACTATCAAGCACTTAGTATCAGCTCACATTTACTGAGCACTGACTGTGTTCCAAGTGCTGTTCTGAGAAGTTTTCACGCACCTTTATACTCCTAGCAACCAGCAAGACATCTATAAAGTGGGGATGAGAGGGGTAACTGTCATCCCCATCCCCAGATGGGGAAATCAAGGTCAGAGCAGCAAAGTAAATAATGAACCAGGGCACCAACACAGCCTGACTTCAGAGTCTGTGTTCTTAACCTATGCTCTACTGCTTCTCCAAGACAGAGGGGAAATACAAATGGAAATATCCAGCCCATGCAAAACAACTGAAGAAAAGGCAAAGGCAAGGCTGTGACTCAGGTACTAACAAGGCATAGCATTATTATCATCTGAACTTTTCACAATAATTTGGAGAGCCACCAAAACCCTACAGAATCTGCATTTCCATTTCATTCAATAAGTAAGCTTCAAATGTCACTCAATTCAATACCCTGGATCAATTTAACAGAGCCAGGCAGGATTCTATCCATTGCCGTTAATCATGTCAGAATGCACAGTATTTAAATGTCAGAGATAACGAGAAGAGAAAGCTGTGGGCTATAAAAGTAATGATCCTTTTTTTTTTTTTCATTCTGCCTGTCTTTAAAATGAGAATTACACAAGCACCAAATGGCCCACCTCTCTAAGCTCCTTAGACCCTCCTGGGGTGGCATGAAATTCAAAACCAGAGGCAACTAAACACATTCCCAATGTTCAGATGATGCAAAGAATACACATGGGACCGTGGCAGCCTTAGCAGAGAAGTTCAGTCTGATACACCTGCTTTTACTCCACAGGTTCTAGAGTCCCAGAGCCTTACCAGGGGGATGCATTTCTCCACAGCTGGCCTAAAGCAGCAACAAAAAGTAACACAAACAAGGCTTCTGGAGGACAGTCATAAGTGTGCTGGCTGAGAGGCTAAAACCCAGCAGACTGTGTCACTTGGTGCCCCAGGGGTATGTTCCTGTGGATGAGAAGCTTTCCCAGAACAAAATAAATCTGATTCTGTCCCTGGGCACTTTTTGTTTGACATGGTTGCTGTACTCAACTTCCTCATGAGGACAAACATCTGAACATGTGGCCTGAGATTAAGACATTTTTTTTACTTAAGTATTGTTTCTTTTTAGCAAATCACCAATGAACCCCAGGGACTTGAAATGTCCTTTAAGCAAAGGGAGACATCTAGTGGCCAAGATTCACAACATGGAAGAAGCCAACTGTTTACTAAAGCACTCACCCTACCTGCTAAATCCCCCAGTGGTCTGCTGAGACCCTGAGCTACTTTGTCCATTTGTTTGGTAAGAATTCAACTTTTAATATAATTCATTCATTCATTCCCTCAACAAACGTTCATTCTCATTAAATGTCTACTAGGTACAAGACACTGCTAGGCCTGGAGACCTCAAAAATCTATAAATACTATCTTCAAGGATCTTATGGTTTAATAGAAAGACTAGGCCACCAACAGTCAGTTAAAATACATTGTGATAAGAGTTGACCACATTATCATATAGCAGCCCATAGCAAAGGCATATAAATGAATCTTTGAGGATGAGAGGAAGAACTGTCCAAACCACAGGTCTCAAACGGGCACCCTGTGAGTCCCATCTGGCACGCAGATGTGTTTTTCTTGGCCCACGCAGTGTTTTCAAAACTCTGAATTAGTTCCTAACATTTAAACATCAGGGGATTTCACATGAAAATCCAGATTTCAGCTTCTTTTGAAAAATGGAAGGATCTGACAACATAGTTTCCATATTCTTGCCCAGAGTTTACTTATTTCAATGAATTTAGGGTAGATTTCATATGAACAGGGTACAAAACTC